ATCATCGCGGTGCCCCCTATTAAACGGTTATCTTACCAGTCTGCGTGACACAAAATCATCCAGCACATGTACCCAACAGCAATGTTCGCAGACTCACGAACACGGTGTACTTGGAGGCACCACGATCCGCACACGGTAATTTGTGGCGGTATCATAACGAGCAGCGGAGAGGGCGATCTTGATCGGCCCAGGCTTGTCGAGGAAGCGAACGATGTAGTGATCTTCGTGAAGAGTAGGTCCGTTCCAGAAATCCTGCCCAGCCACCAGAGTCCATCTTGAGCCGTGTACCAGAAGAAGGCGCCCACAGGAAGAGAAGCAGCGGACGAGCGACGGTCCCAAGTAGAACGAGAGACGAGGGATAACCCGAAGGCAAGTACCTCTCTTGTTTAGCACGTGCGAATTCCCGAGCAACGGCACCAATGCGCATGACGCGATACCGCCAATTCGTCTGGCGATGTTGGTCCGGCGAACCCGCCCAATACCGGAGAATGTGGGATCTGGAGTGCTGAAGGTCCATCCTGCGTTCCCAAGAAGGACGGAGAAGACCTTTCCAGCGTGTCTGACACAAAACAGCAATGATACCACCACGACCACGAACAGTTTGATGACCCGTATATTGGTCCACCTCTAGACGTTCCGGAGTCGACACGTCGTCTTCTGTCACATGGTACGGATGAGATTTGTTCGTGTAGTTGTTCAAAACATACTGAGTGAGGCCGGCAGGCAAAAACCTAGGCATATCATCGGTGTCATGCGGGTTGAGACACGGTTCACAACGCGCAACCGAAACACAACGCTTCGAGTCTGTGCCTGGCAGGTCCAACGGAAGGTCCAAGAACAGCAGGATAGCTGCCAAAGGACTGTCATCTGGAGCCTTCAGGCATGGACCAACAGCCAAAATCTTGAATGGACCAGTCCATAGCAAAGAAAGATTCGCTTTGAGTATCTTATCATCAGTACCGGCCCGAACACCTGAGCGAAAGTTGGATTCGGAGTTACACCCAAACCCAACCACCGACAGTGTAGGTTGGAAGGTTGTGCAAAGCATCCGAAAGAGCGGAATTGCGACGCTCAATCCTTGAAACGGATAAGGTGTGCTGTTCCCGCACCAGCGCGTAGGCACGACGCTGGCGATCGGCAGCAAGATCGCAATTTTCGAGGTGATCACGATCTAAACTTTGATGACCCCGAGCATGAGGATCGATAACGGTCAT